GAAACATCAGATGGAAGATATTTCTCTCTGTCTCTCCTCCTTTCTGTATATCTGATTTTGCAATAAAAATAAATAAATCTTTTTTAAAAAGTGAGCAACAAGGACTCCATCCCCATTCTCATGTACCATGGAGATCAGTGGGTTGCTGAGCCGTAGAGGAGGAGCTGGTTATGGAAATGAGGGTCAGAGCATTGCATGGTTCAACTGCATGTTGGCACCATCTAACAGAGCTTAAAGGAGACCAGAAGATGATGAACCTGAGAGTGAAGTTAAACAAAGAAGGAGGGAGAAAAGGAGGAAGAGCTGAGAGACTTGGAATGTATTTTTTTCATTTTTTTATTATAGTTTTGATAATCATTCCATAGTTAAAAAGGTTCAAGGGCTACAGGAAAGTGGGTAAGACTATTATTTCTACATTGTTTCCTTCATGTATCTGGGGTAAAGGGGAATATTAAGGGAGAAGCCCGACCCAGTCTCCCACCCACCCCAGGTCCCTGATGTGGGACATGCATGGATTAATAATGAGGTGATACAGTAGGGCAATGGTGAGAAAGGACTATACTAATCAACTTGGATCCCTTAGCTGGGAGGAGTGGGTGGATGTCAGCCTGCAGCTGAGATCTCAGTGGGAGGATACGGGGACAGACAGGATCTAGGGAGACCCTGCAAGACACATAGATTCCCAGGGAGGCTGCACTGGGAGTAAGAGGAGAAGTGTGAGAAGTTAGCCGAGGAAGCTCTGGAATGGGGCTGATTAGCTCTACAGCCAGAGGCCTAGAGGCATTCCAGAGCCCCAGGAGGGGGAGAGGGACTCCGCAGCAGGGGCTTCAGGTCCCCCAGTGGCCACACTTGGGCAACCTTGCTCCAAGGAAGTGCAGGAGCATCTCCAGTGTGGCTACTGGATGGGTTTTTTTTTTTTTCCCCCTTCTTTTCTAGATTAACTTTTTTAACTTCAGTGGAATTTCACAGATGTTTTAGGCTTTTTAGCATCCTCGCACTTTACTTTTTTTTGCCAGATGCCTAATGTGTCCAGAAGGAACAGGGTTTGTGGAATCAGCTGTCTGTGTGGTTCCTTGCTTCACAATTTTTAATTCTGCCCCACTTTTACATTCAAGTTGCTCTCCCTTGACTCCCAAAGTGGTTGAGTGAGCTGCCTGGAGGGGCAATCTGGCCAATGTCAAAATAAATGGCCCAAGAGGGAAAGGATTTCTTGGACAAGAGAACAAATACAACAAGCTTGCCATAACTGTCACAGCCTGTGTGTGTGTGTGGGGGGGGGGGGGATTGCCTCGGTTTCCCCTAAACATTTACACTAAGCTTAAAGTATTTGTTAAAGTTGCAGATGAGTGGTCCTACTGAGTACTATTTCAGTCTGCAAGGCACTGGCTTTGAGGCATCCCTGGACTGGAACAGGCTAGCAACTATGTGGTTTGTTCCTTTTTAATGTCTCTAAAATAACATGGGAGTTGGCTGGAGCGGGACAAAACAGGAACTAAGGAATGAACAAGTGTTCCTCTCAACATCTTTTCTTACATAAGCCATCTTTTTCTCACCAAAACAATAACTGCACTTGTTAGTAACTGTCACATACTACATCCTATGTGGTGATGGCACTCTGATGATAATTTGAATTTTCTCCCCTTCTTTCCTCACTTCCTTTTTCATTTTTACCTTTCCTGGAGCTTACTTCCATTATTTTAAGCTTGTCCTGAATTTTTACTTCATAAGGCCAAACTTTTCCCACATCTTCTTGATATTTTCTGAAATTGTAGAATTTAGCCTTTTCATCCTATCAAAACTGTGGAGAATGGCCCAAAGCCTTAGAAGCCTGCAACCATGTGGGAGATCCAGAAGAAGTTCGTGGCTTCAGATGGGCTCAACTCTAACCATTCGGGCCATTGGGGGAGTGGACCAGTGGATGGAAGAACTTTCTGTCTCTTTCTCTCCATAAATCTGATCTGTCTTTCCAACAAAAATATAGAAATCATTAAAACAGAGAGAGAGAGAGAGAGAGAGAGAAGGGAGAAAGAAGGGAGAGTAATGCCGTATCCCGTAGCCCACTTATTCGTTTTCCCAAACAAGCTCCCTGCTACCACACCTGAGCAGCAGTGGATGATGGCTCAAATGCTTAGTCTCCTGCCACCCACGTGGGAGTCCCGGACAGAGCTGCTGGTTCCTGGCTTCAGCCGGGCCCAGTCCCAGCCATTGTGACCATTTGGGGTGTGAACCAGCTAAGAGATATCTATCCGTCTCTTCCTCTCTATCACTTCGCCTCTCAAGAAATAAATAAATCTTTTCAAATGATTTTTTTTTTTGCAAAAAATGTATACTAAATTTAGTATACCATTACAATATGCTGAAAATGACTGTAGTCCATTATAATTCACTGAGGTTGCTTAGCAATTTCAAAGAAACAACAAAAATGTTACCAAATGGCAGTGGAAAATAAATGCAGTCTTTTCTTTGTTTTGACTAGTTTCCTAACATGTTCTATTTTTTTTTTTTTTTTGTGATAAAACCATGGCATCACTACCTCACACTGGCACAGGTGAATCCATCCATCGCTCTGATGACATCAACACAAGAACTTGCATTTTAAAAGTACAAATTTTAGCATGCTTATTTGTAAGCTTTTTAGCTTTAAAATAAAACAGGGATAAAATATTATTTTGCTAGCAGGTAGCTCAGAGTGTAACAATCCTTTTTGATTTATCTGATTGAAATCGGATAGAAATAGATAAGGTTAATGTCTGTCGCTTCGAAATCCCCAGAGGGTGAGTCCACCCTTCAGATCTCTCTGGGAGTGAATGTTGTAGCAGAGGCAAAGAGTCGCTAGGTGGCTCTGCATTTTAAAAGAAAATGTAGGAAGCCCGCGAAGATCGTGGGTACCAGGATCTTGCCCCACCAGGTAGCAACTTTAATCAAAGCCTGGCAATAATAATCCACAATCATGGTTTCTCATTGAGAATAATTGGGAGTAAATGGGTTGAGAATTAAGACTCTCAAGCGAAAACTGCAAAACTGCAAAGCATGTGTGGGTAAGGAATTTGCTAAAAGATAAGAATGGTATTACATTTTTAAAGACCTCAATGACTAGGTTTCAAATGCTTTCATAATTTGTGACCACGAAGGTCACCAACTGGAACTTTGTCTTTTGAGTTTAGACCCTCAGATTTAAAAACAAATACTAAAGAGGGGCATTATTAAAAATTGTTTTCCAATTTCCCGGGTCTTCATCCTTATTACCATTCCATGAGAAACCTCAAAACAAAACCCAAAATTTAGTTTCAGAGTCTTTGAGAAGAAAATAATAAAAATAATAACAGGCATGGTGTTTCTCTAAATGAAGAAGCCATTTAGATCCCTAAATATAAATACAAGTAAGACAAACGCAGTTCTTTTCTATGGTATTTGCTGAGAGACTACAAGAAATATGGTTTAGAACTGACTGTATTAACAAAAAATAAATAAAATAAAAACAACACACACACACACAAAGAACGGACCGCATTAACGTTCCAGAAAAAAAAACAACTAGCTACCTTTGAAGTGTGATTTACATTTTCGGTAGCCAAATTTGCTAGTGAAATCTCACTGGCTTTTGGCGCTTTTATTTTGTTTGTTCTTTGTTCTAAGATATGAAATCACTCGAAGAATGTCCTTCAAAATACATAACTAACTACATGAAAATAAATGCAGAGCTGTGGGGCACGGCGAGTTTCCGAATTATTAAATATTCTGAACTGCCACTTTGCGCTCGGTAGAGTCACAGCCCGCCACAGCCCTTAAACGCTCAGATATGTGCTAGTTATAAAGAACACATTTAGGGATGCTTTCATTGTAAAAGAAATTATTTTCTTAGTATATTTAGTTAACAAACAGTGGTCGCGTGGCAGGTGGAGTTGCCCTTGCATTTTACTAGCTGGTTGTTTTGCCCAGGTAAAAAGCCGTATTTGAAAACTTAGGACAAGTCATATTCCATAATTACACAAAATCTACTTGGTTTTGTATGTTGAGTTTTATTTATTTATTTAGATAAATGTGTGCCTCTTGCACAGTCTAACCTATTTTAAAGTTTTCTGATTTAAAACGTTAGGTCCAAAGTTTCCTCCTTAGATGTTTTTGGAATCGTTCGTCCTTCTGTTTTTAATGACAACACATCACATCAAGACTGAACACACGGGACGCGAAATGAACGAAACTTCCTGATTTGGAACCCAAAGAGTTAGGTTTAGGAAAACGAAACACCCATTGCTGCCTCTCGGTTCAGGTGAGACACCCCGAGGAGGCCGATCCTACTCTCTACGAACACCCACGAGGTTGTACACCGTCTACGAATCAGATGCGACTGCCAGCCCACCGGTGGAAACCGAGCGCGAACCTCCCAACTGGATCCCCAAAGCTTCCGTGGCACTAGGTAGAAAAATGCACAGAGGGGCTGAGCAGGTGGCTTGGGAGGACACCCAAGTTAACTTTCGGGCTTTTATGAAGACGTCTGCGCTGCTGGTGTGAGCTCGCTCTTTCTCTCTCAAATTAAGTCGTTTTATTAGTGTGCTAAGAGAGCACGTGTGCTAGGAACAGCGTGGTATAGCTTTTCTCTTCAACTTTAAGATGCCGGCCTCCACCTGAGTAGCCCCAGGACCCCAGGACTGGAGCCGGGGGCTCGCCAGGGCTGCGGGCGCCAGGCGGGGAACGCGCACGGATTTGGGCGCGCTCGGTCCGGTGCGCTGGCAGGAGGGCGTGGCGGAGGCGTGGAGAGCCCGGGAGCGCGGTTCGCCGCTCAGCCACAGCCCGCCCTGGGGAGCGTCCCGCATACGGTTATAAAAAGCCCAGAGTGCAGGCACTCGCGAGCACCTTTCTGAATCCGGTCTCCCAAGCACTGCCTAGCGAGCGTCGAGGCGGGGCCGCAGGGTTGGCTCCCAAAAGGGATGCTCTCGCCCGAGCGGCTACTCCAGCCCCGTTCGCCCCTGGCCGCTGCCGCGCCGCAGCCGCCCGCCGACATGGCCCTCTACTGCGGGGACAACTTAGGCGTCTACTCGCAGCCCAGCCTTCCATCTGCAGCAGCCACAGCCGTCCCCGGCGCACCCCCGGCCGGCCGGGCTCCCTACGGGCTGGCCGACTACACAGCACCGCCGGCCGCCGCCGCCAACCCCTACCTGTGGCTCAACGGACCCGGCGTGGGTAGCCCGGCCTCCGCCGCGGCTGCGGCGTACCTGGGCGCCCAGCCACCCCCGCCGCCGCCCCCCGGCGCCGCGGCCGGGCCCTTCCTGCAGTCGGCGGCCGCCAGCAGCTCCTTCGGCTGCGCTCAGCGGGCTTTCGCGCAACCCGCGCCCGCCGCTCCCGCCTCGCCCGCGGGGCCCACCGCACAGGGCGAACTGAGCTGGCTGTCCATGGCAAGCCGCGAGGACCTGATGAAGATGGTGCGACCACCTTACTCCTACTCAGCGCTCATCGCCATGGCCATCCAGAACGCGCCGGAGCGCAAGCTCACGCTCAGCCACATCTACCAGTTCGTAGCCGACAGCTTCCCCTTCTATCAGCGCAGCAAGGCCGGCTGGCAGAACTCCATTCGCCACAACCTGTCTCTCAACGACTGCTTCAAGAAGGTGCCCCGTGACGAGGACGACCCAGGTGAGCGCGGCCAGGCAGGTGTTTCCCTGCGCGGGAGAGGGCGGACGGGCAGAAATGATTGAGAGCCCCCCAGGTACGGGAGCTTAGAAAGAGGTACGTTAGTATAGTAACAGCACTGCTCCCTCGGGTAAGGCTTGCTTATAGAGAGATTCAGGCGAGCTGGGGAGCTCCTCTGAGTGCGATACTCAGAAGCGGCGGGGAAAAGCGCAAAAACAGCCGACAGGGTCAGGCTGTCCCGAGGCACGCTGCTTCTTCCACCGGGTCCACACTGTGCCTGCCTTGCCAGCTGACTTGACGATGGTGGCACGGGCATCGAGAGATGGGACGGAGGCACAGACCCTGAGCAGGTCCTGCCAGCTGTGATGTTTGGTGATGAGTACTCCCAGTTTGGCTTCCTTTCTGACTGTAGTCCCTGAAGGGAAGAATTCTGTCTGCATTGTGGTGTGCGCTGCTCTTACCTGGTTCTGGAAGGTAAGGCAAGAAACGCTGAGAAAGCAGACAGGCCTGTTCGGTTTTCTGAAAGACCCTCCCGCACAAGGCCAGAGGAGGAGGTGGAGATGGGGCAAGAAGAGATAGAACTCTTCTCTGGACGCGGCAGAGCCGGGGTTTTGTGTTGCTTTGAGTAAGCTAATTCCTGCTCATCCTGAAGAACTTTCCAATACCCAATTAAGGACAAACCTCAGGTAAATTACGAAGAAAAATGGGGAAACATTGCTAACACTGAAGTAACTTAAAACATTGTTTTGACGTAGAGCACCTAAGAATTATTAGTGGGATTTTTTTGTTGTTCTTGCCACTGAATCTTAAATCCTGTATTTTATACCACTCCTCAGTTTTGCTCTAGCCACATTTCAAGTGTCCAAAGCCCACGTGTAGCTAGTAATACTATACTGGACGGGACTTGTCCTTCTAGATAGAAGATTCACTTTTCCTGATTTGGCCTCTGAATTACTACAGGTAATCATATAAATGACTGTCTTTTGTCAAAACTGTTGGTGTAATCTAAATACGTAAGTACATGCAGGTGTTACTATTTAAGTAATAGATAAAGTTTCTGCAGTTGTTTTGCTGAAAGTATATCAGGGGAGCTGATGGGTTCAGGGCTGTGTGGGAAAGCTGCTTAACACAGTGACTGGTTAACAATGCTTGAGTCTCAACCCAGCCTGTTGAAACCCTGGCTCTACCTGGTTTCCTGGGAATATGGCAGGTCATTCAACAATCAGCACCACCCCAAAAATGAGGGCAGGAATATGATTGATTGCCTGTCTCCATGGGAACAACAGGTTCACCATGCAAAGCACTGAGCTGCCCAACAATTGTTTAACAATATTTTTAGACAGCAAAAGACTTTGGGGCGTGGTGGACAGAGTTACTAGGCCTATGGGCAGATACACTCCTGCAAGATCATCTGCCTCCAGGGTGGCGGACCTTGTGGGGACACTGCTGTGACATGCGTTAAGAGGCTGCACTGGTCTCTGATATTCACCCAGTGGATGCAAAGACTGGAAGATGTGCGACAGCTTGTTCTGCCTGGGGTGAGGAGAGGATGTACTCCGATATATGACATCTCATGCATTCTTGAAATAATTGATTGCTTAGTAATAATTATCATTGCAGGTTACTTTTTTGTTTCAAGTGGGCTCTTTTCTTCCCCCAAGAATACAGAGTTGTGCACTTCCGGGAAAATAATAATTATAATAAATACTATTTTTTCCACTGTTTATTTCATGCCAGATATTATGCTGAAATAGCATTTAATCCTGTCAGTCAACCTACCAGATGGGTGCACTTTTCCCTAGGTCATAAATAAAGAACTGAAGTCTTAAGTGTGTGTAACACCAGAATTCCATGATTCAGAGATAGAGTTAAGATACAGAATAAGAAAAGGCATCTGATACTGTAATTATTGGTGCCTGAGGGGACAAAATTGGATCTTTTTAAATCACAGGCACTGCAGGGAGGAGGTGGAACATCTTTGTTCTACATTTCTTATTGACGAATTAATTCTCTCCAAGAGAACCACAACAGTTGAGTGCAGTGACCACCTGTGTCAGCAGCATTTAGAATGCATCCGCTGTGCTGGAATCAAAGCTCTCCTCATCTAAGGTTTAGTTACCCACTGTCAGCCATGGATGGAAAAATCTACAGACTACATTCACAGAACTTATAGAACACTGCTACTTTTGTCATGCTTGGTTGTGAATTTTGTAGTTTGACTAATGTGTAATTGAACTTTGTCATACATATGCACATTTAGGAAAAGCGTCTCTTACTCGTTCAGGCGTCCAGAGGGGGTCTTGTAAGGCACCTTCTCTCATGGATAAAAGGGGTGCGGGCTGCCTGTAGCAAGTCCTTCTCTAACCTTCTCTTCTCCTCAGGGAAAGGTAACTACTGGACGCTGGACCCAAACTGTGAGAAAATGTTCGACAATGGCAACTTCCGCCGGAAGCGAAAGCGCCGCTCGGAGGTCAGCAACAGCTCCACGGTGGCTGCCGGGGCGACCAAACCGGAAGACGGGCTCTCCTCAGCCTCAAGGGCTGGCGTGGCCGTGAAGCCCGAGGGGGACAGCCCCTCCATGTTGAGGCCTTCGCAGTCCCCAGAGTCCCCTGAGAACACCAAGAGGACCACCTCGTCCCCCGGAGGGGCCGCACTCACCTCCACCCCTTGCCTCAGCACCTTCTTCAGCAGCCTCAGCACCCCAAGCATCAGCGGCGGGAGCAGCGGGAACGCGTCGCGGGCCCTGTCGGCCGGTCACCCCCTGGGCCTCCCGGGCGCCCAGCTGCCCTCCAGCATCCCCTTCCCTCCGAACCCCATCTCGGAGGCCTCGCCAGACGCCCTGCAGCTGAGCACCCTCACCACCACCGGCGGCAGCAGTAGCAGCAATGGCGCCAGCGGCCAGCGGCCTTCCTATTACAGCCCGTTCCCAGCCAGCACCAGCGGAAGCCAAAGCAGCCCCTTCAGCAACCCGTTCTACAACTTCAGCATGGTCAATAGCCTCATCTATCCACGCGAGGGCTCTGAGGTGTAGCGCTAGCACCTGGCTTTGCAGACATCTTGCTTTGATACTCCTGGCCAGTCTGCAGGTCTTGGGTGTTAAAACCCAAGTGGGTCCTACGGTTTCTTCTAGGCTACTGTTGGTTCTTTGTGCACTCAGCCAACCATACTTGGATCGCAGGTGCATAGGGTGAGAGCCTTTTGCATAAGCCAGCAAGCTGCTCCGGTCGGTCTTCTCTGGGTCCTAGCCTCAGAACAGAAAGCTGGCTTACGGGGAGGGCTCCGAACCCGTCTTCTCATTCATCATCACTGTATGACAGGGGCCAAGCTCGCATGTGCACAGGTGACTTCCAGACCTAAGCCAAGAAGCTGTTGTGTAAGAAAACTCAGAGCAGTGGGCAGCTGAGGCGGTCGGTATGTCAGGAGTGCCAGCATTTTTTTCTAGGAAAGTCAAGAAACCAGAAATGTTCAAGGAAGCTCCACCCTCTGTGTCCTTCCACCACATCAGTTTTCCTGGTCCTCTGCCAGGATTGGCTCATTCTTAAGTGCCTGGTACAAGGTCAGTACTAACCATGATAAGGCCGTAAAGTGTCCTGTCCTGTATGCTGCAGACCTTTAGCTCACTGACCACAGCAACCTTGGGAGAGACAGGTGTTACAAACCCTCCCCCAACCCCCATTGTATCCTGTGTGTGCTAGTTCCAGCAAGACAAGTCGTTTTCCCCTTGGCAGACCTAAGTGTTGAAGGAGTAAGAATTGAGCTAGCTAGTTCTTAGAGCAAAAATTCATTTAAAGCAGTTTGAGTTCTAGTTCATATGATATTACGATATTTTTACGCGCAGCTAATTTCCCGCAACATGGTTCTTTACCGTGAGCTGAAAACACCAGACCCAACGAGGTATTTTTGGAGGTTTATTCCAGCGGGGCTGGTAGAGAGGCAAGGAGGAAAGGGGGAAGGGGAGGGCGGAAGGGAGGCCGGAAGGAGAAGAGAGAGCAAGCAATGATTTTTTTTTCTTTGAAAGGCAGTTGCAGAAAGATTGAGATTCAGGGAGAGGTCTCCATTTGCTGGTTGACTCTCCCAAGTGGCCACAATGACCAGAACTGAGCTAATCTGAAGCCAGGGGGTTCTTCTGGGTCTCCCACATTGGGTGCAGGAGCCCAAGGACTCGAGATCATCTTTGGCTCCTAATGGGATGCTTAGCCTACAATACTGCAGCATTGACCCCTTAACAGTTTGTTTTTTTTTTTAAGATTTATTTTTATTTTTTTATTGGAAAGGCAAATATACAGAGAGGAGAGACAGAGAGGAAGATCTTCCGCCCGATGATTCACTCCCCAAGTGAGCGCAACGGCCGATGCCATGCCGATCCGAAGCCAGGAGCCTCTTCCAGGTCTCCCACGCGGGTGCAGGTTCCCAAAGCCTTGGGCTGTCCTCGACTGCTTTCCCGGGCCACAGGCAGGGAGCTGGAAGGGAAGCGGGGCTGCCAGGATAGAACCGCCATATGGGATCCTGGGCGTGCAAGGCAAGGACCTTAACCACTGCGCCACCGCGCCGGGCCCAACAAGCAGTTTTTAAGTGAGATGTTTATAGTATTGTGATACAGAAAACCACCTGTTTAAAAAAAAGTTAAGAATATATATGATGTTATTTATTTTAGCACCTCTTGTCTCTTCACTCATTTTTGGAGTTCCCTTCCAATGCTCAGCAAAAACGGGCTCAGCCACTGCTGAATGGGAGTGGTGTTGCATGACAAGGACTTGCTATGAAATGCTTCTATACCTTGCGTGTGAGTCTTTGTGTTGCGAGGTCATCAGTTCTTTTTAGAAATGGGAACATAAGCACATTGTAAAAGATAATTTTGACTCTTCCCAATGTATGCTTTTTTTGAGAGTCACAGGATTGCTTTTGTGTGTGTGATTTATTTTCTTTTTATTGCAAAGCCAGATATACAGAGAGGAGGATCTTCCCTCTGGTGATTCACTCCCCAAGTGATTACAATGACTAGAGCTGAGCCAATCCGAAGCCATGAGCCTGGGACCTCTTCCATGTTTCCCACACAGGTGCAGGGTCCCAAGGCTTTGGGCCATCCTCCTTTCCCAGGTCACAAGCAGCAAGCTGGATAGGAAGCAGGGCATGGATTAGAACTGGTGCCCATATGGGATCCTGGCATATGCAAAGCGAGGACTTTAGCCGCTAGGCTACAGTGCCGGGTCCCAAAATTGTTTTTTTTTTAAAGACTTGATTTTGAAATTCACATAGAGAATTACTTTTTTGAACAGCTTTTTGGGGGTACAAATGAGGCCACCTGCCACTTTTTTTTTTTAACTAGTATGCAGAAGAACAACCAAAGAAATGACCCACCTCCAGGCTATGTATATAAAAAGTTGGTTTCTATGGATATTTTGGTATGTGAAAAAAAATCATGCAGACTTTTATACATATTGTTTCTAACACAATCTATATTTGTAAATTAATTTATAATGTGAATGGGGGCAGCAAAGAAGGTGTGTTTTTCTTAAAGTGTATTGCATGCTGAGAAGAATTATGTGAAATAAACTTTAAATGGTGTCACTCTTGGCTATTTTGGGGCATTCATACGTGGCCATCCTCAGCTTCCTTGTCCTGAAAATAGGGATTTGAGTCGTTATGTGATGCTCAGGTCTTTCTGATTTTTCATTGCATTTGTTATACCAGCCTGCATCCTAAAGGGCTACGGTGAGATAGCCCTTTTGCTATCTGTAGGCAAATCTAATCATACATTTTGCTTTTTTTTCTAAGGGACTAATGGTTATGTTACTTCTACTTTTCAGTGCACCCAACATTTTCTGTTTCAGAAAGAAACATACCTCATGTGTCAGGTGGAGTTGTGAGGTGGGGGGTGGAGGGCTAGTACAAAGGCAGCCCATTGTTTCCCCAGAACAAATAGAAATTTTAAAATAGTTCCCTGAGAACTAACTCCCTAATAACTGCCATAGGCCAGCCAGCTCTCCATCTGGGTCTCCCACGTGGATAGCAGAAGCCCTGGACACCTGTGTCTGTCCTTTGCACTCTCATTTGTTCTCAACAAAGTTGTGACCTGGGACAGCAACATAGAAGTGTTGCTCAGAATGGAGGTCTCCTGATTTGGCCTGTCCCTTGGGTGGTAGAGGGTATCAGTATTGACAAAGAATTGTTTTACTATCCAGCTTTGGGGTTTTTTAATTTCTATTTTCACTCTATTTGAAAGGCAGAGGAAGATCTTCCCTCTACTACTTTTTCCCACATGCCTCCCAATATCCAGGTGGAAGCCAGGAGCCTAGAATTCCTTTCAGGTCTCCCATGTAGGTGGCAGGGGCCCAAGTACAGCCACCTCTGGGGCTGCATCTTAGCAGGATCAAAAGCAGAACAGCTGGGACTTCAAATCTGGAAACTCATGGGATCTGCATGTCCCATCTGCATGGCCACTTGTGCTGTGTCACATGCTTGCCCCTAATTCTTTCTTTGTTGCAAACAAAAGTTTATTTGAGAAGGGACCAGGTGAGCAAGGAAGTGAGAGGGAAGGAGAAGCACCTCCAGAGAGAAAACCGGGAGGTGGGGTGCTTCTCGAAAGAGGAGGGAGAGAGACACCAAACCCCCTAATTGTTTCTATTAACAGAAGTAGGGCTGGAAATGAGTTTGACCAATCTTTGGGGAGAGGGCAGGGTACAGGCATGAGGATTTGGGTGGGGGAAGAATTGAACAACATGATTAAAATGTGGAAGCTTAAACTGAGTCTACTAAATGTGGAAACAAATGTGCAAGTATTTAGATTTGGCAGGTAATGTGAAATGGCAGAAAGATTAAGATCAGGAAGAAAGACTGCATCCTGTCTTCTGAAGGAGCACATGAATGCCAGCAGGCTGGCTGGGTTGGGCAAGGCACCAAGGCCACTCTCCATCAGCGCCTTCAATCCTGCTGGGCATTGGCATCTAGGAAAAGGGCCAGCAGTGGTGCCCGCACCTGTGAGGTTTCCAGGTCAATGTCTGCACCAGCATGCAGTTGGCACAGGCTTCCAGCATCGTGACATTTTCTGCCAGGCAGCAGGGTCAGGAAAGCTGGAGCTGAGTGAGGTTTCACTTCCTGTTGCTCAGGACAGCTGAAGGAAAAGACAAGGACCCTGTGGCAAGTAGTTGGAGGCCCTTCTCTCTCAAGTTTTTCTGGGGTGAATGTCAGGTGGCAGCCAAGGCCAGGGCCTGCTGGGTGCATTTAGAACCTTCTATAACCTGGTGTCCCCATCAGAGAAAGGGCCCAAGGAGGCTTTGTAATTAGTAGGTCTCAGAGGTGTTTTTTGATTTTTTGTGTTTGACGCTTCTTCAGATCCTTCAGCTCATGCTCGACAGGAGGCTGACCAGCCAGTCATGTGGAAAACCATGAACCTGTGTCTGCTCCCCTTCCCTCCCAGGGCAGACACCCCACCAGGTTCTGGCCACAAAGGAGCATCCCTGAACTTGAGAGGCGACTCCCAAGCTACTCTTGTTCAGCCCTGAGACTTCCCAGAATTGGGAAAGATCCTGGCCTAAGAGGTTTTTGTTTTCTCTAGCAGCTGGGGTAGCTAAAACCTTGAAGTTGTTAATGAATGAGAAGCCCCCTCTGGTGCTTTCCTGGGGCAGGAGATTTAGTGGCTTCTAGAGACCCTACTGTCACCCCACCTTTGTCATGGAAAACTGTCAGCTGGACTGTGTGGCGAAGTAGCTGGAGTCTCTGAAAAAAAAAATTTCCTGTCAGATTCAAAAACAAAACAAAGAGGCCTGAGATCTTCTGAATTCCTCCCTACTTTTTTATTCAATTGTCAGCAGATCACCCAAACCCTAGGAGTCAGGGGAGCTCAGTCCTTTATCATTTTAAAAAGATAAACATTATAATAAGAATAGCTCAGTTGTCAGGCGCTTAAATATCAAATAGCTATTGGACCCCCTCAACTACTCCAGCAAGTCCCAGACTGCTGTAGTCTTCTCTCTGGGTCTACACGAACGCCTAGGGGCTTGGTAAACTGGGCCACAGTCCCACATATTAACT